AAACGATAATGTCGGTAAATCATACGGCTGCAGGATCCCCTTAAGGGAACCTTGTGCCTTTTTTAACGCGCAAAGGCCCAGACCCGCAACTACAATCGACCAATCACTCGCGTTTAACGTGCCTCCGTATTGGATACGATCAATTTGTCGGTTTCCACGGTGACGCATCGGCATGACTACGCGCAGAGAGAAACCTCTGGCAGAGGTCCTCTGCTACGCGAATCCGTCTGGATAGGCCTTAAGTTAGTCGCGCGTGTGTTTATTCATATTTTATTCTATTCATGTGTGAACGTCAGTGAACGTGCAAATGCGTGCAGCGTGATTCGATCGACTTAACCTCGCTCAATTTTTCGCACGCATATAGGATAGGGAAAGAGATTTAGAACGCTCCCAGCTGCGGATAGTTCCTTGAGAAAAATTGGTAAAATAATATAAATATATTCGAAAGAACCTGAAGCTGGAAATCGTAAATGTGCTAATAACCTCCATAAATGAAAAACATTCCTCAGGAAAAAAAGAAATATTTTCACGCATGTTGACAGAGGCGTCGCTGAAGAACGTGTCCAGTGGTCCAGACTGTCCAGGCCGAGATAACGTCTCGACGTCGTGAATGACCGGCTAATTGAATGCATCGTTCGAAAGGTTTTAAGGCAGTGGTGTGTTACGGAAAATCCAGAAAATGTTTAAGAAGTACGTGTCGCCTAAGTGTATAAGAGTAAAAAAGAGAATATTTTGAACAGTAGGGTATATTTAAACAATTTAAATATATTTCATTGATAGAAAGCACTCGGCATTCTTTTTTTCAAGGATACAAAAATGTCAGTTTCAACAAACATTGGAAATGCTGAAATTTCTATTATAATGGACACTGCTTAAATATTTGTTATTAAATTGTGCTTGAAATGTGTCGCTTAAATTCGTACTAACTTTTTTGTTAGATTCGATGAGAAGGACAGTGTTTCCGGCGTTCAGCAGTTGAAGTCGTCCGTGCAGAAGGGAATTCGCGCGAAACTCCTGGAGCTGTATCCCCATCTGGAGAGCCACATAGACGTTATAATACCAAAGAAAGACGCTTTTCGCATTGTAAAATGGTGAGTTACCGTGTGCATAAAGTTGTTTGTAATTTAACAATTTTCTTTTCGTCAGCCACGACCATATAGAGATCATAGTGAACGCAGCGGGAGATCTGTTATTCTTTCGTCAACGTGAGGGTCCCTGGATGCCTACTTTAAGATTGTTACACAAGTGTAAGCTTCCTCGCCAGTCGATCGAATGAGAAATAGAAAAAATGTTGTATAATTTCATAGCGATACATACATTTTCAGATCCATTCTTCCTGCCAATGCAACAAGTTGACAAGGGTGCCATTAGGTTTGTTCTTAGCGGTGCCAATATAATGTGCCCTGGTTTAACGTCAAAGGGCGCAAAGATGATGACTGTGGATAAAAAAACGGTTGTCGTATCCTTTTAAGCGCAGTACAATCTCGATAAAGATTGCGATACGTTTTAACAAATTTATTTCTTCGACAATAAGATACAAATTCAATGAAACAGGGAAAAACGCCATAATAAGATACAAATTCTTAACTCAAACTGTAGGCTGTTATGGCTGAGGGCAAGCAACATGCGTTAGCTGTTGGAATTACGACATTATCCACAGAAGAGATGTAAGTCAAAATAATTTTTTTAACATACGCTTTTAAATTATCCATATTTCATTTCTGATTTCCAGCATCAAAGTGAATAAGGGAGTAGGCATCGAAAATTGTCATTATTTGAATGATGGACTTTGGCAAATGAAACCGGTGAAGTAAGACTGATTGTACCATGGATCCAAGATCAAAGAACCATTTTAGATACAGATGTTCTTTTATCCAATTTCTACTTCACTACGCAATTATTTCACGTGGAACAGTATAATTTCTGGACAAATCTTGCGTCCACAGTGTTACAAATCATGATAAAACCAAACTTATCATTATATTTTTATTGTATAAATTAATTACGCCGAATGGGTCTGCTGGCGCAAGGATATAGAGATAAAACAGTCATAGTTACGCCATGTCAAATAGAAATCCAAAATAGCGTTTGTAAAATAAAGAATATTTAAGCGGATCCCGATTTAGTGTCTACCTGGCCCTCTTGATTCTCCGACGGACCGGTACGTTCGCCCTCGCAGTGTCCCGCGGGCGCAGGATACGGAGTAGGATTGTTGGTATCGGGCGCTGGTGCGGAAGCCACGGCGGCCGTTGCGCCGCCTGCGACGTTAGCACCGACGTTATTTTCAGGAGCGACTGTATGAGGCGACTGCGGGTGATAATGCGGACTGTGCGGACTATGTGGACCGTGACCGTGAGGTCGACCCATCGGATGGGGCGAGTATTGCGAATACGGCTGATGGTAGTACGGATGAGCGTATTGCGGATAAGGTTGATGATACGGCTGTTGCTGAGAGTAACTGTAAGAGGGATGCGGCGGTCTCGGAGCTAACGGAACGTTTTGTGGTTGTTGCGGGCCTGGTCCGGACTGATACTGCTGGCCGTAGGCCTGATTGGGCGGCATCATTTGCGGGGTGTGCGGATTCGCTACCGGTCCCTGCGGCGGCAAAACCTGCGTGCTCTGGGTACCTTGGGCGCTCTGATGTGGCGGCATCGGGTGAGCATTCGGCAGCATTGCTTGGTGGGGATTATGCTGAATGGGCATACTTCCGGGAGCGGACACCGGCGGCATGTTTGGCGGAGCGGAATTCGCGGTTGCATTCGCGCTTGCAACCACCGCCGCGACCGCAGCTGCTGCCGCGGCTGTCGTGGTCGGTTGTTGAGGCGACATTACCGGAGGCGCCGGTGACTGTTGCGGCTGCGGTGGTGGCTGTTGTTGGTGTTGCTGCTGATGTTGCTGTTGTTGTTGCTGCTGATGTTGCTGCTGTTGATGTTGCTGCTGCTGGTGTTGTTGTTGCTGGTGTTGTTGTTGCTGTTGCTGCTGGTGTTGCTGCTGCTGCTGCTGTTGCGATTGTGGAGGCTGAGGTATCACTTGATGCTGTTGGGGCGGTGGAGGCTGATGCTGCTGGGGTGGCTGTGACGGCGATTGATGCTGCTGCGCTGGCGGAAGAGGTTGATGCTGTTGCTGAGGAGGCTGATGTTGTTGCTGAGGAAGCTGATGTTGTTGCTGAGGAGGTTGATGCTGTTGCTGAGGAGGTTGATGCTGTTGCTGAGGAGGCGTCGGTTGATGCTGAGGCAGCGGCGGTGGTGGCGGATGTTGGGGCGTTTGCGTCTGTTGCTGATGTGGATGTTGTTGAATCGGATTGACCATGTTACTGCAGAACATCCCAGAGTTGGTCGGATGTTGCTGAGTAGCATTTGGTTGCACCGCCGGCGGTGCCTCGATCTTATTCTCGGTATATGGAGGTGACATTTTCTTGTTCATTTCGACATTAGATTTTTCGGCGTTACCAGATTTTTTCTCGATCGAATCACTGTCAGAGACCTACACACACAAACGGGATGGTATTTATATTTCTTTGTATAAGATTTTGATTACGTTGAAATTTATGTAAATGTTATGTAGTATTATTACATCAGGCTGGCTCTCGTCATTAAGTGATGCAGGAGTTGGAGTCGGAGTGGAGTTTGGAGTAGATTCACTAGATGCTGGTCCATCCGACCGATTCTCTTCCGTTCCTCTTAATCTCTCTCGTCTAAGAATTTCATACTGCCGTTCTACCAGTTTGTTAAATGTCTCTTCATCTACCGCTGGTTTGCAATGCTGAGAAAAAAAAGAATAATTATGTATCCTGCAATATTATTAAATATTATTAATCTATAAAAAGTTTTTTGTACCTTTTTCAATTCCTCTTGAAATATTTCACTAGTTTCTATGAATTTACGTTTCTTTGCCTCAAATTTCTCTTCAATTTGTTGCAATTCAGCTTCAAGTTTTTTCTGGAATACCCAAAATACATTTCATACTATGATATTAGGATATTACTATAAAATGTAACACACATGCGTTAATTACCTGATGCATAGTTAAGGATTGTACTTGGCGACGTAAAACCTGCATTCTTTGAGTAGTGACTACAGAGCGAACATCAGGGACAACCGTGTCACTAAAAATCTCGTTAATGAGCCGATGATTTCTTGTGTAACGCGAATATGCCACGTGTTTTACAGAATATCCATCATCTTGATCTATTAATCAAATGCAAAACTACTATTATAAAGTAAATATTTTAATAAATATCCGTAATAATAATTTATTGTTACTTATGTACCATCGTCATCTTCAGCTGGTAAAATATCAATCCTTCTATCCTGAGCTGCTTGGCTTTTGCTACTGCCCGATGAACGTTCGTGACTCTCTCGATCATCATTGCTTTGTTGTGCTGCACACAATGCTGCGTGAAATACAGAAATATTGTAACGTTAGAAAATGCCACCACAGTTTTTACCATGAGTCTTAAAACTATGTTCATTACACCTACCAGACTTGCCACGATTCTTAGCTGCGATATAAGCTAGATATGCGGGTGAATTGTGGTAAGTTTTCAAGCTCTTCTCATACTCCACCTGTGTTAAACGATTAAACGATATGTATGAACGAGTCAAATTATAAAATTGTATGAAAATATAATAGAATGCATCTGTGCTCTATACCTTCTCAGCTTCGTATTCCTCGATGAACTCTGTCTTATCTTCTTCTGGCAAGTCTCTCCACATTTGCCCAATAATCTTACCAATCTCCCATAACTTTAACTCGGGATTCTGAGCCTTAACTTGATCCCATACCTTCCTGCTGTACCTCATATATGGCATAAGGGGTTTCTCTGGTGGCTTGGGTGGTTTTGGCATACGAGAGTCAGCCTAATCACAAAATCAGACATTAAATAAAATCTATCTCTTTTATGACAAGTTGTTACACCGATGCAATATTTTATATAATCTGTCATAGTTGCACTTTTTAATTTTTTACGAAATTAGATACGTACATTGGTGTTCTTTCCAACTTTCTGGGGAGTGAAGCCTGGATGACTGTGGGGAGTTTGTACAAACGGGCTCTGGGTATCTTTCTAAACACAGACAGATTGCTCCAATTAAACTCAAATCTCCAACAGACGTTATTTTGTCACAAGTGCTCGTCTACTTACACTATTGGTCGAGGTGCTCGAACTCCCACCGGATGCTCTCATACGTTCTGCGCACAAAATATTACGATATAAGTACTCCAAAATTACACTGACAACTCCAAGTCAGGAAGAGAGAAAAAGAATCAATTGTACTTACGATTGGAGGCTACGATGTTCGACGTAGCCATCGCGACTTGCTTGTAATTCGCTGGCAGTGCCATTTTGTATCACGACGGGCTGTTACACCGGGAAAACAGAGCGAACGTCACCGCGAGGTACTCCTGACGTCGGCGCTCTCGGGGTTCACCCTCGTCGATCTCGGAAACGTTCGGAGATGATTAAGACAATACTCGGCGATTAAACTCACGGTACGCTCGACGGGCGCGTCGCGACCACCATCGATGACGCGCAACCGTGGCGTTCAGGTTCACAGGCTTTATTGCTGAAAATAAACCGAGAGAATCCCAGGGATTCGAGCCTCGAGCCGATAATTCGCGACGGGACGCGCGAATATTCCGGTACTCCCGCGAGAGAACGGGAAATACGGGAACTCGCGGAGGAAAAAGAGAAAGGAGCGCGTTTCTCGTGTCTCTCCCGTATTCCTCGCACTCGCATCCGTGCCCCGTGGACCGTGGACTCGGTGCCCTCGGTGGACTCGCCTATTGGAGCCGGAAAGCCGGCTCCAGAGGGGCGAGTCGACCAATGGTAAAAAGGATTCAATCGCGCGGCTCGGTTTCTTATCTCGAACGCCATTGGTTAGCGTCGTGGCAAAAACCTCGATGCTTCCGTGCATGCTGTTTTATATATATTTTGTACTTTATAATTTATTACATTTTTCTATTTTTCTTGTTGTGAGAATAATTTTGTATTTCACTTTTATTAATTCAGGAATCTTTATATTATTTTCTATTGCAAATCGTAATTAAAAATCCTTCAATCTCTGTCCGTAGTCATATTACTTTTTAGCATTTGGACGTGATTGGTCGAGGCGCGTATCTAATGCGCATTCACGAGAATGTCTCACCTGTTTTGTTACGTCATGCTTCTGTGTACATGTGAGTGTGTAATCAGAGGTTATTTTTTTCACGTTATATGTTTATTTATTTTTTTTATTCTGTCGAGTGTATTTCATTAACCTTGAGAAGAAATCGATACGATTGGAATGCATAATTGAGATAATTTAAATATAAAAATACAAATGATGTCGAAGGTTACTGTATTATTCAAATTAGCGCGTCATAATTATGGACTTCCGACTACCTAATTTTGCATATATAACATAACGCGTTAAACTTTGCATATGTGTTTCTTAAATTGTTTTTTAAATATATAAGATTATTAAGTTATTTAAATTTTAAAAGATTGTGATCCTTAAATGGCTTCTGCATTCTGCTCAAGGCTCCTGCAATTTTATGTGCTTCCACCTTTATCCTTTCAGTAACTTTAAATAACTCCGAAGCAGCTGCTCTCATTGTATTATTTATATCGCGATATATCGCAATATAATTATTTATATCGATATATCGCGAACGAGCTTGCGCGTTTAAAAATGTAACATTTGCCCCGCTAATCATGCTTTTATCCGCTATCTCGAGATTACAGGGAAAATGCGCCGCGATAGCCGGAAAAAAAGATATTAATTTACATCTCTCAGACATCACGTACATACGCCGCATATATAGGGTGCATTCGGGGAGACGCTATTAACGCTATAAACGCTAACGCTATGAACTTCGTTTGAGGAGCCAATAGCGCGATAGCGATAGCAAGCTCCCCGAACGCAGCTTAAGCGCCAATAGTACTTCGTGCCTCACCTCGAAAATAATAGCGAAAATAGCGCGAGTGATGACGTCACGCTGCCTTTACAGTGACGTCATCATCGTATATCACAGCGCCACAAAGCGTCTCCTCGAACAGTTTTGGACGATAATTGTGCTAATAGCGTGCTCCTCGAATGCACCCATAGTCGAGAGTAAAAACACCATTTTATTCAGGTACGCAGGGCTGCGTTCCAAAATTCACTCTAGTTAACTAAAATGCTATAGTGTACGTGACGTAAGTTATAGATTTTAGTTACCCAGAGTGAATTTTGGAACGCAACCCAGGAGGTACACTTCGTTACCATCCTATTTTACGAGAAATAAGTAAATTAATTGATTAAATAATAATTTAAATTATTTTCGAATATTTTTAAGTCATTCCACTTCGATCAAATTTTTTGATTAATTCAAAGGGCAATTAATTCAATTAACAGAAATTGTTCAAAGTAAAATTTCCAACTGAACAATATTCGTCATCCTTAAATCTAATCGTCTTTCTTACGTGACAATGAAAAAAAATGATAATTCCTTCAACAAAATACTGCGGGAAAAGAAAAAAAAGTAAAAAATGCCAAAAGTTTATATAGCTATACCTGATGGCTATTTATATACAAAACGGAGCTCAATTGCACCTGCACCGAGCCCGCACCTGTTCTTCAGCGCCGACCGATTGGCCAATCGCTGAACGCAACGGCGTCGACGGGGTCGCAGCTCGAGCTCGAGACCGACAGAGGCTCTCTCGTCCGCGACTGTACCGGCGCTCGCGGCGCGGGACAGCCGACGTTCGAGACAAACGAACGGCGCGTACACGGCGCCGATCGTGTAGAGGGCCTCTAGATACGAGGGGCGCAAACTGATTGACTTGAAATTGCTGCACAAAAGAATAAAGCATGCAACATGGCGATCAATACCCAGTAAACACAAAGTAACAATAATATAATTGTTATATTATAATTTTCCACTCAATAATATAACTGTAATATAACATGCCTTGTACATAACAGTTATATTGTTGAGTAAGAAATTATAACAAAACAGTTATATTATTGTTACTTTGTGTTTACTGAGTAGTTATATTAAACAAAACAAGTTATATTAAAATTATATTATTTTATAATATAATTTATTTTAATAAATAAAATATATATAATATATATAATAATAATATTTATTTATTTATTTATACATATATATATTTATTTATTTATTTATACATATATTTATTTACTTATACATACCATATATTTGCACTTACCTTGTTAACTTTTTTTTACTTATATTAATTATATATACTATATATTATATATTTATATATAAATATAGATTATATATTTATATTTAATTACTTATTATTTTACACACAATATTATGTTTATTTCAATATTTATATACAATATTTATGTATGTAAATATCTAATTTATTTATTTTTCCTTAAATTAAATAATTAATTTAATTAATTAATTATTAGAATAATAATTAATTTAATTAATTATTATTAATTAAATTAATAATAATAATTAGAACACTTAATTTAACATTAGAACATTTAATTTATTAATTATATTAATTATATATATATTATATATTATATATTTATATAAATATATATTGAACAATATGTAAACATTGTATTTAAAAAAAATTTTTTTAAGTCTTTTTAACATTTTAATTTTTTTAATAATGTAGCAATTATTTTTTTATAATGTGACTACTATTTTTCTAAAGAAAGGATCATAAATATCAATAGATCAAAGATCACAGTTGATTAGAGGAAACAATTATGGCTGTTGAACTTTCTTAAGGCAACTATTTACTTTTTTTTTTGAGAAGGATGGAACTTACTGGCTAAATATCTGGATCCCATGCTCATACTGGAAAGCTGTGATGACGCAGCTTTGGAGGCATGACATTCAGTTGGCTTTTCACTCATCAACTTAACTCTCATTTTAATGTACCGATGAATGATTTCTTGAGAAATGTTGTGACATTGAAGATTTAAAGGAGAAGTGGGAGAAATTGTTACAGTACATACTTTATCTTCTAAAAATTTCAGCAAGTCACACTTTAAGGTATGCAAAGAGGTCTCAATAGCCATAATTTTTTCCTCAACGCTCAAAAGTAACTCGAATACATCATTGGATACCTCAAAAAGAGCACCATCTTTAAAATTGGTCATACGATTAAATTTCCCATATCTATGTGGTTCAGAGGAGTTGTGTCTACAAGCCTGAAGACATGCATTGCAGTCTCTAAATGATGGCTTCTCTTTTCGCAGCTTATTTACAATATATCCACAAACTCTATAAAATACATATTTATCATTTTCTGGAATGTTCTCAAGACCATAAAAAACTTGAGCTGAGAGACATGCAAGAATTATTTCTTCCTCTTCATCAAGAGATGGAGAATTAAGTGACCGAATATCTTCGGATATTTTCATGTTTTTTGCATCTAATAAATTGAGCAATTCAGATCGATCATCAAGATCATAGGAGGACTTAGAATTGTGCTTCATGAATTGACTAATACTGCAAGTTTTCAAACGTTGCTTGAACTGTAGTGCGGATGGATTGGGGCGCTTGTAACGAATGGCTGAAAACAAGTTCTCACAAATATCACTTGTGAAACGGCCAGGCAAGAAAAAGTCCAAACCAACTTCGTCCAAGTAAAAAGTGCTTAGGTCTAAAATACAGAGTGTAGCAGCTTTGACTCCTGTTTGACAGGGTTTCCACTCATGACCAACTTTCATTGTTTGGAATACATCCATAGTTAAATTTAAATTACGAACTGTAGCTGCAAATGCCTCAGGATCGTCTTCAATTAAAGTGCTTTGTTTTAAATTATTGTTATTCTTTAAATTGTACATAATTTATGATTATATACTTTTGTTTAGTACAAAATAACGCACTTTGTATACGGCACTGGCGAAGAAGCTACATTAAAGGTTCTACAAGCTTTTAACACTTTGGAAAAGAATTTGATGTCACTAAAGGATATGCATTTGACGATAAATGGTGTGCAGGGCTCGAGCCCGGTTTTCCGATACGCGGAAATCTTTCCGCCGCTTGCTACTGTCCATCGGAAGACCGGTGGTGTCACCGAGGAGGACAAAAATTGTTTGAGCCTTTCAAAGAACATCACGAAATGCTTTATGTATGTTCACGCGCTTGATGCGACGTTACAGTTATCGACTAGCGGGAAATGGCCTGAGGAACTGGACGCCATTAGGAAGACAAAGGCGGCGTTTCACATACAAATCGCGGAATTCCTCAGGACTCAACATGAACTTGCAGGCCAATCCTTTTTAGATGTGTACCAGGTTAATATGATGGATTATTTTAACAGTATAATATAATATAATAGTATCGTATTTGTAATATTAATTGTATTTTAAATGGGAATATCCTATAGCATTACAATTATAACAGCACACTCTTCTTGATGTAATATGAAATTTTCTTTTTTATTAGGACGGATTCGTTTTTCGATTAAAAGTGGCGCACCAGAAGGAAATTGCATTAATGAAACAAGTCAAGGAAAATGGAGTAATTAAATACAGAGACAATGAGGAATTTATTGAACTGGAAAACAAATTGTTTCATTTACCGAAATTGAGTAGTGCTTTGCATGGGTAAGAATTGATGAATCCTTGTTAGGACAATTTGTATAGAATGTTAAGGAGCATACCTTTTATTTTTGAAAATAGTTTTCTCGAATGATAATTTTTCCCTCGAATTTAATCGTCAGCAGATGTCTCTTGGATTTCGTGATATAAAAGACGTTATAATTAATAGTAGTCTATAAGATGATGGAGAAAAAATTATACTTTTTTTGAGATTTCATATATTATACCAAAAGTTTAACAAAATTTATTGATATTGAGGATTAAATAAGATATCTATAATAGTTTGTACAATAGATAAATCATGTGCAATAAATAAAAAGATATATACAGTATATATGACATTCTCGTTCTTTTAAGTTGCATTCTCAGCAACCATCGTTCGGTCCCGCTTGCTGTTTGGCGAAACGATGGTTATCGGCGCAGCTCTTGGACGACACACACATACCAGGAGTTGTGATTGAATTGCTCGTGGCATCGCTGTACCTCGCACCGGAGCCGTTAAGCCGGCTCAGACGCCGCAAGTGGCATTTCTACGGTTCCTCGAAATTGTTGCGAGAGCTCACTGGAACACTGATCCTGTCATTGTTAATTTCAATGGCGAAATGACCAGTAAGTCCATATCTTAATATATACTTTGTTTTTATATATTTTTTTTAAACGCAAATTTCCGTGATGCATCATTGTGAAATTATCACTTCACTGAAAAAATGAATTGATACTAAAATCAAAATTGACTTTAGATAGATAAAGATGATAACGAGCCAAAGTAATCTCACTTCAAATTCTGTATTATCACAAAATCTGTATTATCGCTCCTGACCTTGTCATATAAGAGAATGTATGATGTTAAATTTCACAAATGAAGAAATTGTCGCCGTAGAAACATTATTTGGTACAGCTCGCAGTTCTCTTCCATTCTTATTCGTATCTACCTCTTACGATCAACAGAAATCCTTGTGGACCAGGAAAGCGCCGTCGCAGTTGATTTTAAACCGTATAAGCGTGCTTGCAAAGGAATCGCTGAAATTATTCGACAACTTGTTGTTCAATGACACAGTCCTGGATGTAAAACCCATGTTTCGTCCTCCGCTCTTGGATCTACGATTGTTTATTACATTTGAAGTCAAGTATGATTCCAAGAAGATTGCAGGCAGTCGATGTACCTAGCAAAACCAAAATCGTAGATCTACATCCGTACAAAACTCATTCTCTTCAAAAGATTCCAGTCGTGGATTTTGATCCTGTACAATGTTTCTTGAAAGATTTAAGAGTAAGTATCTCGGATAACTTATTAATAAGTTGTTAACAATTAAAGTATTTGTAAATATCATTGAATCGATGCATACATATACGCTTTTAAAAAAGAAAAAAAAATTGTATGATTTAGATGCTAAATGTCTAAATTAATTATTATTATTAAATATCTAATATTTTGAAGCGTTCTATACTGTCTATTTCGTTTTCAGGACGGTTATGGAGAATATGCCTTGTTTTTCCACGATACTTATGGTGGATCGGTGATTGCCGTTCTGTTGAAACCCACCGTTTTTGAGCGTAAGGATTTCAAAGTATCGGACGCCAATTGCAGGAAACTCGACGCCGACGGTAAACTCGTTTAAACGTATCAACGATGATCGAGGACTTTTATGTTCTGGGGAGAGGTATTATACGCACGATCGATATTCCGAACAAAAGATTTTCCTTGATGACATCAGAGTCGACTACGTAGGCAAAGGGTTATCTCGAGATCTGCGAAAAGCAAGATTTTTATATTTTGTAAATATAGAAAATAAATGTTTTATTACAGAAAGAAACTACCGAGATATTGTATTAAAGCACCGTAAAAATAAAATACTTGTTTATATTTTATTCACCTTTGTAACAATATCAGCAGGAAGATGAATAATAAACTTCCTCATTTTTAGTTTTGTAATAAACTATAGCTGGTTCCAGCGTTGGTTATGCTTCTTTCACAAATATCATAAATTATATCTCTCCCAATCTCCGAGATGCTTTATTCGCGATACGAGGCATTTTATTTCTCATTCGGATGTAATCTGAAAAGCTTCTACGTCGAGCGTTCTCCGTACCGACGAAGAAACGCGGGTTTTTAGGGAGAGAAATAAAGGAGAGATGTCGCGACGTGTGAATTTGATCACATGTGCTGGGAAAGTGGGAAAGCATATGGCGAGCACCGATTGCGTTAATTTATCTCTTCCTCTTGGATAATATATTTTTATTATCATTCCGCCAATTAATAGACTAATATCGATAGTATTACACAAGCAATGATGAAATACTTCAGATATATACAAATTAAATTTGTTATTTTTATCGCCGAGAGAGATACAATATTCGAAATTTGAAGCAGCAATTTTTAATAATAATTCCACGTAAATTAGCGTAAATTAGTGTTATGCTAAGTCCACAATGCGAGTCGTAAAGTCGTGAGTCGTAAGAATTGACCACGCACAATCGAATTTGAAGAGAATAGTCCGACTGCGCGCGCGCGATATTATTTACACTCACACACACACACACACACACACAGTCCATTTTTGGACTTTGTGCTCATAGTCACTTTTCATCAGGACGTCATAAACTACATCATACTAAATTTTTAGCCAATTTGACCGGGATCCATTTTCCCGTGGTTTGGTGCGGGGTCCTTTAAACTTGTCAGTTTCAATTGCTGTCGTATCGAGATATGATTTCATTGAGTTTCAACTTTATAAAATGTATGAGAGCGTATATATGTATGTATAATATATGTATAATATATGTGAGAGCAATTGATGTCCATGAGCCGCACGCATGCGGCACTCACGTGTGTGCAAATTTTAAAATAAAAATGTTTATAAATAAATATATACTTGGTCTTCTTTAATTTAACGTTTTTATAACTGCAATAGTACATATTACATATATATTAAAAAGTAGGGTACAAGGTGAGAGCAATTGATGCTCATATGATCCGCATGCATGCGGCACTCACGCGTGCGAGTCATATGAGCATCATTTGAGGACGCATCTGTCTAGTCCCATGAGTTCTCGCCGTGCAAATGACCCGCACGACGTGCACGCGTCGTGAGCTCACTTTGCGGGCATTTTATTATCTGGGTATAGACGGACACGTGCGGATATCTTTCCTTCCATCGATTAATCAATCGATTAACCAATCGATTAACCAATTCATTTATATCAGAAAAATCGAAATAAATCGTCTGCAGTTTAGAACATTGTTCAAAAATAACGTTACATCTATCAGATATACATTGTAGTTCTACGTTATAAAAACATAACTTTTTTAAGTTTTTGCACTGCGCTAGTAATTCCAACCGGTAAACATTGAGGACAGTGCAGTACAAATAAACTTCTTGCAAGTTTTGATAAAAGGGAAGTAATCCAATTAAGCTATTATTCATGTGATGAATGATTTCACGCAAATCATCAGTATAGCGTCCGCATCTGTAACAAAAATAATGTAATTAGTACAGTACTTTAATTGCAAAGAAAAAATTCATGTAACTTTTTCAAGATGCTCGCAAAAGAAGCAAACAAATTTCAATAAAGAATACAATAATGTGTGTTTTAAAAGAAAATGTAGCACACACACACACTTACAGATCAACTTTCACTATTTGTAATTTCTTACAGTTAGCGAGAGCATTAATACCCTCAGATGTAAGACGACGTGCGCACAGTAATGAATCTATGACTTCCAAGTCATGACACGAATTTTCCAACTCTATTAGAACTGCATCATCTATAAAGTCTTCAAAGCCTGCCGATAACTGACGAATCCGTTGATTATTTTGCAGTATTTTGCAAAGACGTTCGGTTGTTATACCAGTATGAGAAAGGTTTAAGTGTTCCAAATTATTTAGCCCCTCGAGATACGAAAATCCTTCGTCGTCTATGCCAGAATCACTTAGATCCAATTCTAAGAAAAATTTGTATTACAAATTGTTACACAATTTACCAATAATCTTGACAATTATATAGATATACTATATGCATATACCTTTCAAATTTTTGCATGTCTCTAAAGTTTTAAGTAGGACAGGATTTAAACATTCTCCATCGTTGCAGTTACTTAATCTTAAATGCGTTAAACGCCTGCCGCAATTATCAAGAAAGTTTACGAAATCATTAACATCAAAGTTGCATCCTGTAAGATCTAATTGTTGCAAATATTTACATCTAGGTGTAATATAACAAAATATATCGCACATATATTTGTCAGAGCTAATATATCGCATATTCAAACGTGTATAGAATAGAGGATCCCGTGATAAACTATCAAAGCGCCTATTATTTACTTCATTCATGCGGCATAATGTTACTACATCTAAGTATTTAAATATTTTTAGTAGTATTTCATTCTGTAAAGATAAAATATAATTAATATAATACAAAATAAATACTTTAATACTTAAAGTACGAAATGTCATTGTAATAAATATTGTGATGAGAAATAGACTTCTTAGAATACTTTACAGGAAGCGCAGATAAACTGCAACGTGATAGCTCCTTGGATTCATCCGATGAGAGTTTCATACTCTTGGCACAAGTCGAATTACTTTTCAATAAAATACGACGCGGATATCTCTGATCAAGAGGATGCTCATAACCAGGGATTACCTCCTGATATACCTTTTTGTGCTTCAAATTATTCTTATACGAAATCCTTCTTATGTCGCTGCAAATATTATAATCAGAACAAATTAAGGGGATCTTGGACAAGGGACAATTACTGACAAAAACAGTTAGGGCTCGTTCTTTGAAACGGCTTTATAGATCGCAAAATCCTTCTACAGGAGTAAAGTATTAGGTACTAATGAAGAGTGGAAATTTAAAAAATTAGTGATAATTGAAAAAAAATGCTGTCCTCATACCCATATTTTCTAATATAAACTGTTGTATAGGTTATATATGTACGAAATGAAATGTTTCGACTCTTCAGAATACGTACACAAACAATAACATACCTTTGAAATTGAGATTGAAAGCCCGGAAAAAAAATCTGGGCTTCAAAGAAATCGTATATATTTTCCACAAAAATATACACGCAGGTTAGTAAGTGGAGATGGCCCAGGTATCGAACAAGGACAGATGTTATTTCGTTAGACAAAGACAAATACGGAAAACAAAATACAGAACAAAACAGAACAATACAGCTAACAAATACACATAACGAAATAAAAAATGTTAATATTGTCGACATCGAAAAAGTTCGGCCGACACTCCATCCCCTTAAATTTTAAATTAATTTTTATTATTAACAGAAAAATTAATGGATTAAAATATTAATTAATGTCAATGATAATAATACCTTTTATAAATAACACAATATTCAGGAAAATTTCGTTGCAGATGAACTATATCCAAGTGTGCACTTTTTGAATCTGCTGTTAAATTATGAACATCGTCGTGGTGTGAAGAGTAGATGCTGTTAATTCTTTTCAACAGATTACTTAAACTCTCGTTAGGATTTCTAGAAAGGATCAAATCTGATGTACCGATAAGCATCACAGCATCCAGTTTTGTCCAAGTTTTATCTGAACTGCCCTTAAACACTAGTCTGAGCATTTTGGTTGGGAAGTTGCACGGATGCGACAACGGTGGAGAAAATAATCTTGATTGCGGGGGTACAATCTGAGACGATTCATCCCACAACTGAATCCAGTGTTTATTGAAATCTCGAGCCAAAATTTGAATTACGCTTCCAGGATTAAATATTTCGTAAATACAGACTCTGACTGGATATACAGCTTCATGAAACTCGATATCTTTAAATAGAAAATATTATTATATTTACTCTCTTCTCAGCAAAAGAGCGTATCTTCCTTAACAATATCTTATTTATTGATTTAAATATTACATACCAATATATCTTTCTGTCACATTATAATCGAATGATATGGGTCTCGTGACAGCTTTGTTTTGCCACGGAGATATTGAAACACCAGTATCCTTTAACGTCTATATTAGAAAATCAAAATCGTCAAATATATAGTAGAAAATCTTGTAACATATAATTGACTCAACTTCCGAATAGCCTCTACCTCCGAATTTGATAAAACTTGTAGCAATTGTTGACCATTAGAGGACACGTTCATACTATAAAGGATTTTGTACGGAAACAAATAAGAACGGAGAAATTGGCGTCAAAAATTCAAAACTTTATTCTAATTTATAGACAATCTAGTGGTTGAATTTTGATGAAATTTGAGTGGTGTAGGTTAATAGGTCCTATCTTACACCGATTTTTCTGTAATCACATGCGCATGCAAGAAGTGTGCGAATTTGAAACATCATTGCGCGACAGAGGGCCTAAATGGGGATTGGAGGGCAAAGCGCCTAGCGGGGGGTCCCCCAAAAGGGGGTCCAGGAGGGTTCGGAGAAGCGGAGCTGTGATATAACACTTTTCTATTGCAAAAGCAACATTTATTACGAAAACAAGACTTAATCTGGTAGAAAACTGTCGTGAAACAGGTGTTAGCAGAGAAGGTGGTTGTGGAGAGAGGGGCAACGTCCTACCTTTTGCGTAGAAGTCTTGCTAATCTTTTCCGTATCTTTAGTATATTGTAGACTCATCTATTTAGTAAATCGAAGATTTAGTAGATATATAAATCCTTATACACGCCAAGTGAATGGAACGTTCTACGTTACGTACGGGGCCTCGCTAATATTTTCAATATTCATATTTTTAGTATATGGTAGACTCATGAATTTAGTAAGGTGAAGATTTGATACAGATATTCATTTATTATTAATCTATAGTCCAAAAGCGTTTTTCTCTTGTCATGAATAAGCATCTCGCGGCTCGCGGCTCGCGGCCGCGACTGTGATTGCGATTACCGATTACGTCTCTTGACCAATGAGAAATGTCCGATTTTCGAGCAGCTTCTTTCTCATTGGTCAAGAAATGTAATCGCAATTGCAGTCGCGGCATCTCGCGGCTGCGAACCGCTAATCTGATACGGGCTTTACGTGCTAAACTTGGTCTAGGTTTTGGTTTCTCTTTGCCAACGTTTACATATAACTGTCTGCACACACATATTAATATGTAATCAGTAATCATTCATTAGTAATTAGTAAATCATACAATTTATCATTTGCATTTTTTTAATTTCTCCGTTTCTATTTGTTTTCGTACAAAATCCTTTATATAGTGTAGGTGTGTCCTTTAATGCTATACAATTGCTGTAAGTTTCATTAAATTTGGAGATAGGAGCTATTCGGAAGACTTACCGGGGTTATTAAATGAAGTTGTCCGTCCAAATTTGGAAATTTGGGTGGCCCAATTATGTCAGGGGCAGTACGTAATATGCTATAACTCCTGTGCTCCACGGCAACAAATATTTTCTTCACAAATTGATAGATGAAGTCAACACTATCCTTTTCTCTTACGGATACTCTGCCGATATAGGGATATCGACTACAACTCTCGCAATATGAAGATTTATTGTGGGTTGTCATATTGTCTGTCTGAAAGAAGACAAAAAATATGAAGAATAATAATCCTTTCTTTTTTAGCATATGCTAAAATGCATTTTAATATCATACATATTTATAATTATAGCGTTAAGATTATATGTATAAACTAACAATAAATTTATCTTGCTTCCATTCGCATTGCTAAGTACTGACATCATTACATAGTCTGTGCATGTGTGTTGAATATCATTATTAAATAATTAATTATTTTAAAGAAAATAACAGTTATTTTTTAATTTTGTTGATGTAGAAAAATGTTCTTTTATAAATCTGAAATATCGAGAGCTCTGTGTTCTTTTACTACCACGTGGCACTAACGCGTGCACGCGAGCACAAAAGTAAGAATTAAAAAAATACACAATTTAGATCGCTCACATTCGCCAGACTTACGCTTCGTTTCTAAATTACTATAAAGTTCCATTCTACAATAGTCGTAAGAGTAGATGTAAAGCCCCTTGCACAATGCCAGGCAACAGGCAATAGGAACAGGAAATAACAAAAAAATCGTTAATTACAACCTAAAAAATTCGAATGCTATGATTGGTTGGCAACAGGCAATAAGCACAGAATTTCGTGACGAAAACTCTGTGTTTATTGCCTGTGTCACTGTTTATTCTGCATTTATACATGATTTCTGATTTCTATTCCCTATTGCCTAGCATTGTGCAAGGGGCTTAAGACGCGTAAGCAGTAAATGCGAGTCGCAAGAATTGACCAATCACAGTCGAATTTGAGGAGACTAATCGACTGTGATTGGTCAATTCTTGCGACTTGCGACTCGCATTGTAGACCCAGCATAATAAGATTTTTACAATTCAAGAATAATCGATTGTATTTGGTCAACTGCTAGTAATGCTCTTATACCGCATACTCTTACAGTTATTGTACAATAATGGGTTTAAAATTTTCCTATATGTATTTTTTATTTTACTCAATGTATCTTTTATCTCATTTTCCGATACACGTTATAACATGTTCCACCACGTGGTACTATGAAAACGCATTCATGCCGATTCAATTTCACCAAATTTAATACGGAACCAATCGAATTTAATCGGTCATTTTCAGCAGGGATGAGTTTAAGATTTTCCGAAATGTATTTTTTATCTTACTCAATGTATCTTTTATCTAATTTTTTTCCGATACACGTTATAACATGTTCTACCATGTGGTACTGTGTTTTACACGGTAGAAGAACATACGGCATACACACGTTCACGTGCACCAAAGAAAAAAAATTGCAAAATTTAAATTGCTTACGTTCGCTACACTTACGCTTACGCTTTTAAATGACTAAAATTTTTCAAAATGTATTTTTTTATTTATTTAATGTATCTTTTATCTCATTGTTTGATATAGGTTCCTAACCTAACCTAACCTAACCTTGTGACCAAACTTTGGATCTGAGAATATTATAAACTCACTTTGAGTTGAAATAACGGTCGCCACTAAGTTTATCGTGTGAGTGTAGAACGTATGAGAGTCAACGATGTACTCGAAAGTCGAAAGCTGCTTAACTTCCTTCCTTCCTGTCTCGTACCAAGATACAAAATGTCCGCTGCTCAGCTTTATGCGTAGTAATGATCAATGTCCTCGGACAAGGTCGCGCACTAACACTCGGTTCACGAACGATCATGCGTAAGCGATTGACGAATCAAACTGTTCACGGGCGTTACCTGGGTCCCTAACAGCATTAATATCCTGTATATTTATAGAATATACTAAAGATGTACTTAATAATTATATATCTTATACTTTACAATATCCTCTGAACATTCTCAGAATATACATTTGCTGTTAGGGGTACAAATAATCTCGATCCTTCGGAATACGACGTTAATATCGGATTCAATTACTCGTACGCTGCGTCAAGACTTTTAATAGTAATCGCGTATCGCGAAACTATCTTTTCCCTGAGCGTATTTACGATCTCGAATAAACAATATACAACATACCGCACTCGACTATACGTCCGCAGTCTTCAACAACTAAGCGAGAAAAGACCTCGACTATCCTCGATCTATCCCGACCTTTCCCCTCTCCTTCGAGTATCTGCAGCGAGCGCCTGGGACCGTATTCTCGAGCCTGCCCTAATGATTTTCGTATGCGACTTTCTATTTGAAAAGCATTGAATTTCGCATGCGAGTTTCATGAAAACGATTCAAGAATAGGGCCCCTGGGCGGTCACGCCATGCACATCTGCCATCTTCTTTCTCTTTCTATCATGCAACTGTCTCTCTTTCTCTACCACTCAACGGAAACTTTCTCTTTTGATGCAAACTGCAACTCGACCTTGATCAAAACATGCTAACAGAAAAATTTCTGAATTCGAATAAAATATTATGAAAACTATTGTAGCTAATATGTAAAATATTTAATTAAGTCGAGAATTGCAACTACATGATCTTTCTTCAGTCGTTTTTATCAAATAAAATATTAAACGAATATTATTCCTGTGACGCATGATCCATTTCTACTCTCTAAAGGCCGATTTCACAGTCTCCGATTAATTTGATCTTTTAATTAAACCGAGGATTAAACTCACTCTTCGTCTCTTTCTAGGGGGACAGTTAGAAAGAGATGCTGAGTGAGTTTAATCGGAGAACGGAGGATCACATTAATCGGAGACTGTGAAATCGGCTCTAAATCAATTACGTATCCTTATTGCGCTTCTTTCTAATTATTTCAATTATGCAAATGCCAATACGTTATTCTATTAAAATTCATAAATCACAATAATTATTTCATTTAATTCCCTGCTCATTACATTGTTTGTAACGTATTGCAATCATTTTCAAAGTTTTAATTCGCTTCCTTTACTAATCTTATTTTTTTATTTTCAGGTACACTGTATTTATTCAATTTCAAACGTTTTTGAGACTTTACCAAAAAGATATCTAAAAGTTATCTTTTATAAGACATTTTTTGGAGTATATAACAGCTTTTCTTTTCACGTTGTAGAGAAAAAGAGAAAAGATGAACTATACAAGAAAAGTTCAGATAGTAAGGAAAGATTGGAAAAACTTTGGAACGATAAATTGGATACCACCAAAGCGGAGGTATTGTTGAAAGTTGTTAGGAAAAGGAATGCAAAAGAAAAAGAAGACAGAATGTCAATAGGCTGTGAGGTTAGGAGATAGTGCAATAAGAAGCTATGATTATTTATAATTGTATAATTTATAATAGGATATTAGGATATTTGTGTATGCGTGGATTGAATGCAAGTATGAGAAATTAAGGATTGAATGTAAACCAAGTCCACTTTCTAGCTGTATTGCTAAAGTTGATAACCATATATAAGAAAAGTTCAGCTAAAACTGGCTAAAACGAACTAGGCCTAATTATTAAGGGGATCCTATAGCGAAGGCCGAACTTCCTCGACGTCGGTAATGTCAACATTTCTAATCCTGTTTTCTATGTTATATATCTATGTCTGTCCTTTTCTAACCAGAGGCATCTGTCTTTGTTCGATTGCTGCGCCATCTCTCGCTACAAAACTTCATTTTACGGAATCTTTTTTTCTAGACGTTGAATCTTAGTTTTATACGATATTGTTCCTACATGTTGTCCCTACGTCGCCTTGGTGTCATTATATATATATAAACTGCAGTAATTTTGTTATTGTCGTCAGATGACAGTTGTATGTGCCCAAATTAGTAAAATTTTTAATTTTTTTTCGTTCCCGATATGAAATCGTACAACGCGATGTAGATTTTTGTGCGTACTTTAATTCTAGACCAAAAACTTGCAATTCTGTAAAGCCAATTCAAAAATTCCTTAAAATAAAAAAATGTCGGTAACTTAGCCGGACAATTTTTTTTTTCAACCAATTTAACTTATTTATAGCTCATTTGACGCGGAATCGTTTGGTGGTTACGAATATTACCAGTAAAACGTTTGGTGGTCAACCGTTTTCCCAGAAAATAGAAAAAACCGTATGCGGATAATGCCGGACATATCACCTCTGTGCCACTAATCGGAAAAATTGTATTTATCACCCAAATTGACTTTAATAGGGCTCAATCGACGCGGAATCGTTTGGTGGTCACGAATATCGCCATTAAAACATTTGGTGGTCAATCTAAACAGTTGTCACGTGATCTGCTGCATGCGCGTGCGGCCACTGAGCATGCGCATATAGCTGTAGCTGTAGGGCGTAGGGCATCTTTGTAGGGTGCATTCGGGGAGCACGCTATTAGCACAATTATCGTCTTTAAAACTGTTCGAGGAGACGCTTTGTGGCGCTGTGATATACGATGATGACGTCACTGTAAAGGCAGCGTGACGTCATCACTCGCGCTATTTTCGCTATTATTTTCGAGGTGAGGCACGAAATACTATTGGCGCGCTGCGTTCGGGGAGCTTGCTATCGCTGTCACGCTATTGGCTCTTCGAACGAAGTTCATAGCGTTTGCGTTTATAGCGTTAATAGCGTCTCCCCGAATGCACCCGTAGTCGGCTAGTCGCTACATGTCGTCGGTATGACAGGAATCATAACCTGATTTCTGTCAACTTTA